GTTTATTACTGTGATGGATAAGACCTAGACAATAAATCTGAAATGTGAGACACTGGAAATAGCAATAAATTTTGAAAGTTGAAAGACACAGACATTGTTGCTAAAAATTCATGACATGGAATGGAATGGAATTAGAATTAGAACAGAATAGAGTAGAATAGAATAGAATAGAATAGAATAGAATCTGGAAGGGACCTTGGAGGTCTTCTAGTCTAGCCCCCTGCTTAAGCAGGAAAACCTATATCAGTGATGGCGAACCTTTTAGAGACCGAGTGCCCAAACTGCAACCCAAAACCCACTTATGCATCGTCGGGTGCCAGGTGGGTGTGGCTCATTGGGTGGGCGTGGCTAGGTGGTAACAGCAGACTGGGTGGGACTAAAAAGTTCAATCAATCAATTCCAACTTTGCAAGATCTTTTTTTTCCCCGCGAGAAGTTGAAATTGACTGATTGAACCTTTTTGTTTTGTACACGGCGGCGGAGGCCTAAAGCGAAAAGATTTTATAAAACCCAGCTGAAGGCCTAGGACTAGGGCGACAGCGCGCGTTTCCACAGAGAGGGCTCTGAGTGCCACCTCTGGCACCCGTGCCAAAGGTTCGCCACCACTGACCTATACCATCTCAGACAAGTGACTGTCCAGTCTCTTCTTAAAAACCTCCAGTGATGAAGCACCCACGATTTCTGGGGGCAAGCTGTTCCACTGGTTAATTGTCCTCACTGTCAGGAAGTTTCTCCTTAATTCCAGGTTGTTTGTTTGTTTGTTCATTTAGATTTGTATACCGCCCTATCTCCCTTACGGGACTCAGGGCGGTGAACATGCGATAATAAAAATCACAATAAATATCTATTCTAAAATCAAATTAAATAAATAAAGGCCTGCTCTAAAATACCCCATATAAAAACCTATACTAAAACCTAATTAAGACTACGCCAGGCCGGCCGCACGAAATAGATGGGTTTTCAGGGCTCGGCGAAAAAGGCGCAGGTCCGCAGTTGTACGTAGGTCGGGGGGTAGGTNGCCAGCCGGCATTGACTGGCCGACGGCACCCTAAGGAGGCCCTCTCTGTGGGAGCGGACTGGTCGAAGGGAGGTATTTGGTAGGAGGCGGTCTTGCAAATACCTAGGTCCATTGCCATGGAGCGCTTTAAAGGTTGTTACTAACACCTTGAAGCGCACCCGGAAGGCCACAGGCAGCCAGTGCAGCTCACGCAGGAGAGATGTTACATGGGAGTATCTAGAAGGTTGCTTCTCTCTTTGGTCAGTTTCCAACCATTGTTTCTTGTCCTGTCCTCTGGTGCTCTGGAGAATAATTTGACCTCCTCTTCTTGTGGCAGCTTCTCAAATACTGGAATACTGCTATCACATCACGCCTATTTCTTCTTTTCTTTAGACTAGCCAAACCCAAGTCCTGCAGCCGTTCTTTATGCTAGGGCAGAGGTCCCCAACCTTTTGGGAACAGGGACCGGTTCTGTGGAGAAAGGTTTTTCCACGGACCAGAGAATGCATAGTTTTGTGTGCTGCCTGCATCCCACGGATGGGACTTTGCTTGTTTGTGCGGACTAGTTGCTGGCATGTACTGGCCCAGTACCGGTCCATGGACCAGGGGTTGGGGACCCCTGTGCTAGGGAAAAGGCCAAACAGAAAAGAAAATTGTAGACCAAACAGTCTGAACGGAAATTGTGAAATATTAGAATGTGTTATGTCTCTGTTGCCTGTTAAAGCAGTAACAAAGGATCTCTGCAATCTTGCTTGCACCTTGCAGCTCTTGGTTCTGCAACTCCCATGTCTACTATATTAACATTTCAGGCAGTGTTTCAACTTGTCTTACTGTGAAGATATGGTTAAAAAGTAATTTTTAAGAAAGTTCTCAAAGCCTGCATTATATTAGGGGGAAGACTCTTCTTTTTCTGTAACCTTTCTTTATAGAAATGTTACTCAATCTTAGTTCCTTTTCCTATAACTTTTACAATTCCTGAACATCTTTTTGAGGTGTGGGCAGGATTACAATACTAATGGTGCCACATTATAGATTCATCTAAAAGTATTATTATTGGCATACATCACAAAATACAAAGACCTGAAAATAGAACAACTATGGCAAAAGAAAGCAAAGATAATACCAATAGTAACAGATGCCTTGGATGTAATCCAAAACAACTGGAACACCATTTGAACATCATTTGCATTAATGAAATCACCATCAGTGAATTGCAAAAGGCAGCTTTACTTGGAACAGCTTATATCTTATGACAATACCGTTAACATCATCAAACATCAGCCTATCTCAGGTCCTTGGGAAGGATTCAATTGGTGGATAAAAATGCCAAATCCAGTCTAAACATCTGGCTGTGTGACCAACTATAATAATAATCATTAGCCATATCATGGTATTTTTATCCCACCTTTTAAAAAATATTGATCAATTCAAGGCAGCAAACATATCCAATATTTCTGCTTCCTATTTTCCCCACAACAACCCTCCTGGGAAGTAGTTTGAGCTGTGACAGGGTGATTGGTCCAAAGTCACACACCTAATATGGCTGTGCATGCTTCAAAAATTCCTTAAAGAGATTGTGGCTGCTTTAAGAATCAAAATTACTCTAATGAATTATCTTCTTAAATCAGCTGAATTTTTGAGTAAGTTTTCTTCAAGTAGCCACGGTGAATGCAGCACAGAAATGTCAGATTGCATTGGCTCACACAGCAATGATGAACATGAGCCGAATATGAAAAAGCAAGGACATCAGCCTAGCACCCAAATGTAGGTTAGTCTGCTCTATGGTGTTTTTTTTAGCTACATATGATTGCAAAAAGTTGGACCTTAAAAAGTAAGACAGGAAGAAAATTAACTTGTTTGAACTTGTGGTGCCAGAGAAGATTCCTGCATATTCCTTGGACTGTAAAGGTTATTAACAAGCAAGTACTGGAGCGCATACCAGACATATAATTAGAAGGCAAAATCATGAAACTGCATCTCATTTACTTTGGCCATGTTATACAGGGGAATTCACTGGAGAAAGCAATTATATTTGGAAGAATTAATGATAAAGGGAAACTAGGCCATCAAACATGGTAGCTGTACACCATCAAAGCTGACACCAGCCAGAGCGTAGAAAAACTCAAAGAAGTAGTGCAAGATTGGAAGGTGGGGAGAGACCTGGCCCGTAGTATCACCAAGAGTTGGATAGCACTGAATGGATAACATCATCATCATCTTCAAGCAGCACAAAATACATAGCATATGAATCGTTTGAGGAGAGATAAAAACACTCCATTTCTCTACAAAGGTATATGCTTGCAGTAATCTCTTGAAGGACTATTATAAAATGATAACAACTACCGGTATTTCTAAATTAGAAAGTCAAGAAAATAATCTATTAAGTGTAATTCGAAATCATACGCTAAATGGATTCTTCTGCCTTTTGATTTGCTGTTCCCTCTTTTCAGATGGTTAGGGTAGTTCACTCATATAAATGTTTTCACTTTACTACAAAAACTGAATTTGTTGCCTCTATAGATGCCAATTTTTATAAGCCACTGCATGATTAAAAAGGGAAAGTTAAATTTTCTTACATCCTGCAAGCTGTCCCCTATTGCTTAAGCTGCATATATTATATACTATTACTGTTCTTTTTGTGTTCATGCAATAAACAATATATTGCTCAGATTACAACTGAAGATAAAAACTTTTCAAGTCAAATGCCACCTACCAACATTCACGTAATACACTTTGACAGCCACACCTCATAGAAGCAATATAAAGCTTATATGAAAATTCTGCTTCTGTGACTTTAACATAGGTGCTAATATTTACTGATCATACACAAACTATCCTAATCTTCCTACTGCTATTTTTTACTTGTAGAGCCCTAGATATGCAGATGATACCACTCTAATGGCAGAAAGTGAAGAGGAACTAAAGAGCCTCTTGATGCAGGTGAAGAAGGAGAGTGAAAAAGTTGGCTTGAAACTCAACATTAAGAAAACCAAAATCATGGTATCCGGCCTTCTCAATTCCTGGCAAATAGATGGGGAAGAAATGGAGGTAGTGACAGATTTTATTTTCCTGGGCTCCAAGATCACCGCAGATGGGGACTGCAGCCAAGAAATTAAAAGACGCTTGCTCCTGGGGAAGAAAGCTATGGCAAATCTAGACAGCATACTAAAAAGCAGAGACATCACCCTGCCAACAAAAGTGCGTATAGTCAAGGCCATGGTTTTCCCAGTTGCAATGTATGGATGTGAAAGTTGGACCATAAGAAAGGCTGAGTGCCAAAGAATTGAGGGTTTTGAACTATGGTGCTGGAGAAGACTCCTGAGTCCCCTGGACTGCAAGGCAATCAAACTGGTCAGTCCTAGAGATCAACTTTGACTGCTCTTTAGAAGGCCAGATCCTGAAGTTGAAGTACTTTGGCCACCTAATGAGAAGGAAGGACTCACTGGAGAAGAGCCTAATGCTGGGAAAGATTGAGGGCAATAGAAGAAGGGGACGACAGAGAATGAGGTGGCTGGATGGAGTCACTGAAGCAGTAGGCGTGAGCTTAAATGGACTCCAGAAGACGGTAGAGAACAGGAAGGCCTGGAGGAACGTTGTCCATGGGGTCGCGATGGGTCGGACACGACTTCGCAATTAACAACAACAACAACAAGAGCCCTACATGGCACAAACCACAGGTTAGCTTAGAAACCGCCTGCTCCAGATAAGAGTTTGTCTCTTCTGGGTGATCACTAAACTCAAAATCACATCTTCATTTTAGTAGTCCCGATATTTGGAACATTTGCCGCCAAAAGCACAATTGCACTTTGTGTACACACAAGCAGATGTCATGCCATATGTGGTCGGGAAGCGCAATCCAGCTGTTTCCGATATATGTAAGAGCAGCCGGGGTTCCAGGGCTCGAGACGGAGCCGCTCGCGGGGAATTGAATGCGCGCAGGAAATAACGTCATGCTCAACCGGAAGCCGGAAGCGCCGGCCGTGGCTGGCGAAGACGGAGGGGGGTCGAGGGGGACGTCTGCCCATCGCGGTCCCCTCCGCCGAACCGCCGGGCGGAAGGTCCGCAGGTGAGAGGAGTATCCCTGGCGACTCGAGGTTGTTCCGGCCTGGCTCTTGCGGAGGGTGCTTCTAACCCGGTTTCTCAGAGGTTGGGAGAGAGGTCTGGTGTAGGCAGGCATCGGGTGCCCAAGAGCAGCGAGAGGTGAAATGCTCCCACTTCTCCTCCTTCGAGACCCCGAAACCGCCCTGCATGTTGTCGGCTTCTGCATGGTAGAGTGGTTGTTTTGAAATACTCGATTTCTTCCCTGCGAATGCCTTCACCCATTTTCTTCCTCCAGCACTTCTTGGTGCTTCTCTGACAAAGCGGATAAAATCAGTTCATAATAAATAACTCTCTGTTCTGGGGACGGTAGTTAAGCCTCATATCACTAATAGCACTGATTAGCAAAGAGTATGAGAACCCCACTTTAATGCAAGGGGAGAGTTTGAGATTGATCACGAAGGTAGAAAAACTAATAAAGATGGATAAAGCCAACCAGCCGGCATTTGTGTGTGTATTACCTTTTTTTAATTAGCTTTATTTGTGTAACAAACCATTGAACTGTTGTTAACAAATGAATGGCTTTGTTTAACATGCTAAGCAACGCCAAAAATCACATTAGGGCTTAAAGTGATGGCCTGGCTAATACAGCATGCTAAATTTTATAATATTGTGCTTGGCGTAGTTTTTTAGCCCTTGTTGTTGAAAGATTATAGTTAACGGTTTAGCATGTTGTGTGGATCCAACTATTGAATTCAAATGGCTTAATGTTGAGTGTTTGAAAGTGAAGCCTTGAATTATAAATATGTAAGTTTGTGCCAAATGTGTTTGTTCCAACAAATCCCAATTGTTCCAGTCCTACCATACATGGTTCATACCACTTTCATCCTAAATTTCCAGATTAAGGTCTGAAATCCTTGAATGTCTATGCTTGCATTATCCTAACATGTTCTATGAACCAATTCTTTGTGGTTAGTTATAACATAGTCTATGAATCAGAACATTAGGTTAATTTGGTAGGCCATGGTTAAATTACTTATAGCAGTGTTATTCAACCTTGCAAATTTAAGACAAGGTAGACTTCAACTCCAGAATTCTGTGCTGGCTGAAGAATTCTGGAAGTTGAAGTCCACACCTCTTCAAAGCTGTGGAGGTTGAGAAACATTGACTTATAGTGAAACATGATATGCAAACAAAAGCTGTAAATCCTTCATTCTAAATATAACTGTCTGGTACTGGAAATTGCAGAAGTAGTCACTGACCGAGTTTCAGTTGATTTCTCCACTAAGTCTTTGCTGATATTGAAATAATTTAACAGTTTTAACAACAGTAAAATTCTTTTACAATGTCTATAATTTGGTTGATGCAGAATTCCACTGCTATGGAACTACACAATCAGCTATATAGAGATTATTAATCATTTGTAAATTTACTGATATAGAAGAAAACCTCTCAAGCTTCCTCCTTCCGTTATATATTCAAGATGGACAGTATTTAATATTTATTTGTTATGTATATGCAGGTGTGTGGGTCTATACATATGTTGTATATAGTATGTTTTTAGGGTGTGTCATGTATGTGTTTCACTTTGAGACCGGGCAATTAAATTTCATTTTTTATGTGTGCCGTTGTGCCCACAGTAAAAAAAATGACAATAAAGGTTATCTTATCTTATTTTATCTTATCTTATCTTATCTATCTTACCTTTTTCCTTCTGGTTTTATACCTATCTAATAATATATAGATGATTAAGTACTTCCTTGACAGTATAGTTGGAGGAAGAAAATATATTCCTTAGCAAATTAAGATTTGTCTCAGATATCTGATCTTAATATGAAACCTGCTTATTCTACTGTGTATGTGAATGAGAGAATGGGAGAGTAGTTTCATTATTATGTTAAGATTTATAGCAGTGGTGGAATTCTAATATGTGAACAACCGGTTCTCTGTGTGGATGCCACTTCCGAAAATCCATTCTGGGCCTGGGCAGCAAAAAATTAGCTACCAGTTCTGCCGAACTGGTGTGAACTGGCTGAATCCCACCACTGATTTATAGTGGCAGTATATTAACTATTCAACTGTTTTCATGAAAAAAATATTGACAAGATCAAGGAGCTTTCTGGAGAAATTCTATACCATATTAATTAATAGAGGTAGTGATTCTGTTTTATAATTCATTTGATAACAGATTGCAATTTTTTTTAAAGGTAGGTAGAAATATGATTTAAAATTATTTATTAGCATGAGCAAGTATCTGCAGTAATTCTACTTTGGATATGTTGAAATTACGGGTGGTTTAGAAATTACCCTATGTATCATGGAATTGTTTATTTTTGAAATAAATATATAAAAATGTACTAGTTATTTATGGAGCTCCTTATTAATGGATGCACATTATGTTCATTTGACAAGTTTTTAGAAAAACCACTTTTAACAAAAAGTTGGGAACCATCTTGTCTGGAAAGTTGAGTAGCAAATGTCTTTTAGGCTTTTCTTATAACGTATTTCTCATTTATGTATACGATTTTACATAAATCTTATTTAAAATTTATTTTCATTGTCTTTTGGGGGCAATTATACATAGTTCTGGTCTGTGTCTGCAATGAAAATTTGATGGTTGTTGGAACTATCTAAGTAGTTCTTTTATTCCCCCAGTGTGTGGTAAATTGAAAATTCTTGGGAAGAGAATAGAGTTTACCACAAGTAATTACAGTGTATTTAATTGAGTATAATTAGAGAGTCTTAATTCAAAGCATGAATATTTCCTAATTTTAAAAAATGGCAATACTCAAAATAAAAAAAAATCCTAAGTTTTTATTTTATTGCAAACCATTATTGAAATGTTAAATAAAATAAATAGAAATATAACTGGGAAAATGTAATGGTTTGTGAGTTAATTTTATTACTTGGATATATTTAGAGAAGACATCTGTTTCAGCCCCTGAATATATTGTACAAAATGTTCCCCATATGGTCTACTCATTCAGCTCTTCGGCTTTGCCGTTTTGTATTTGAAGGTCACTTTGTCATCTAGTGCCTGTTTTTAAATACAAATTTTCATGCATCATATTGGAAAGATTTGTACAACATAATACTTCTGTTACCACCTTTACCATTCAAATGAGAATCACAAGTCAAACTTTTGCTTATATACTTTGGGAAAATATTACTTAATTGTGTTGGTATCCTGCTTCAACGAGATAAATTCAACATGTGTACAACTTATAGTTGGAAAAAACAGTTTTCAGGTAAGTGAAGCCTGAAAAATATTTGTAGGTTGGGCTTCATATCTTACCTAAAACTAAAACAATTTGTTTTTCTTAAGTGGCTAAAATTCAAAACCTTTCGAAATGTCCTTAGCCTTTCCAATGTTTATATCCAGTTGTTTAGCGTTGTACTGTGTTGTGTGCAAATTCCTTAAATCTTCCCTTTTCACCTCTGTAAATTGAGTTTCACCAAACAGCCATAATAACTCCACAACACGTAGGCTACTTGTATGCTAACAGAATAACAGAGTTGAAAGGGACTTGGAGGTCTTCTGGTCAAACCTCCTGCTTAAGCAGGAAACCCTAAACCATTTCAGACAAATGGTTGTACAGTCTCTTCTTAAAAACCTCCAGGGTTGGAACATATACAACTTCTGGAGGCAGGTTGTTCCACTGATTAATTGTTCTTACTGTCAGGAAATATCTCCTTAGTTCTAGGTTGGTTCTCTCCTTAATTAGTTTCCCTCCATTGCTTCTTGTCCTGCCTTCAGGTGCTTTGGAGAATTGGTTGACTCCCTCATCTTTGTGGCAACCCCTGAGATATTAGAACACTGCTATCATGTCACCCCTAGTCATTCTTTTCCTTAAACTAGACATACCCAATTCCTGCAATCATTCTTTATATATTTTAGCCTCCAGTCCCCTAATCATCTTTGTTGTTTTTCTCTGCCCTCTTTCTAGAGACTCAACATCTTTTTTACATCATGGCGATCAAAACAGGATGCAGTATTCCAAGTGTGGTCTTACCAAGGCATTATAAAGTGGTATTAACACTTCACGTGATCTTGATTCTATTCCTCTATTAATGCAGCCTAGGATTGCATTGGCTTTTTTGGCAGCTGCAGCACACTGCTAGCTCATATTTAAGTGATCGTCCACTAAGACTCCGAGATCCCTCTTGCAGTTATTACTGTGCAATTATTTTTTCTTGCCTAAATGTAAAAAACTTATTTTTATCTAGAGTTGCTTCCAAAGTTCTTCCATCATTATTTCTGCAACCTGAGTAAGACTGACTAAATATAATAGCATCCTTTCCTGCAGTAATACACACACAGACACACTGAGACTCAACATCTTTTTTATATCATGTTGACCAAAACTGGATGCACTATTCCAAGTGTGGTGTTATCAAGGCATTATAAAGTGGCATTAACACTTCATATAATCTTGGTTCTATCTCTCTGTTAACCAGCCTAGGACTGCTTCAGATGTAATAATTGTGAAGTCTGAGGATGTGAATAAGGTTCTCTACAGTATGAGCTCCACCTCTTGCGATCTCAGGTAGTCTTCAACTTAACAGTCATTCATTTAGTGATTGTTCAAAGTTATAATGGCACTGAAAAAAGTGTCTTTTGACCATTTTTTACATTTATTATCATTGCAGCATCCCTATGGTCACGTGATCAAATTTGGGCACTGGCAAGTAGCATATATTTTTGACAGTTGCACTGTCCTGGGATCACATGGTAACCTTCCCAGATGGTTGCAAAAAGCAAAGTCAATGGGGGAAGCCAGATTCATTTAATGACCACATGATTCAGTTAACAATTCCAGCAAAAAAAGTTGTAAAATGGGGCAAAACTCACTTAACAACTGCATTGCTTAGCAACAAAAACTTTGGGCTCAATTGCGACTGTAAATCAAGGACTACCTATAGATCCATATGCCTCTTAGCCATTCCTTCACACAGAGAAGAGGTTACCTAAATGGATTTGAGTGATAATTCTTTAAATGAAGGAGTAGCTCCCACTATCTTGAAGAAAGCAATGGTGTGTCCTCTCCTGTAAAAATAAATAATGTGCTGTTTGTGTTGTATAGCTTTCACCTACTGAAGTTTCCAGTCAAAGTGAGTAAGGAAGCTAGATGATTCCCACAGTCTTAGAACTATTCCTTCAGAGAGAATAACAGATTATGAATTGATAATTTATAAACTGTGTAGAGTCTCTGCATGAGAGGGATACAAATTTTGCAATAAATGTAAAATAATAAATCATCCTGGCCACATGGGAAGATATCTTTTGTGTCACTTAAATTTAACTGAAATGGCTTATATAAGTACAAAACTATTTTTAGTTCAATATAACTGTATGAATAATGTACGCTGAGATTATACTTTTAAGCAGGTAGTCTTGACTCAGACTTTAGCTTGGCCATACATTTGCAATGTGATTTTGAGAAGGTTGCTATATATCAGCCTTGA